TGGCTGGCACTTGGTGGGGCGCCCACCCTTATCTCTTGCTCCAGCTCTACCGGTCGGTCATTCGTCCGGTCATTGAATACTGCGCTGGCCTCTACTAGAGTCCTATAGGGGAGAGAAACGTCATGGCTGTCTTACCCATCTGCCAGCTGAATTTTTCATGGCGGCCATCTTGGGGAGATTTTGAGGCGCGCTGGGTTTGGTTTTGGTTGGAGTTCGCGTGGTTTGTTTGGCCGGCCGCCATTTGCAGGCCCTTTGCTTCCCCGTGGTCCTTTGAATGATCCATTCACATCAAGTTTTTTTAACGACGGACAGAACAGGCCTAAGTACCAAGACTTAAAGTAATCTTTTGACTGTCGTCTTGGTTTTTCTCACGAAGATTTTCTGGCAAATGTGACCCCACACAGGTTAGTGTGCTTTTCTTACTCGTTTAACCTGTATCACGTAGAGCGTGACTAAAACATTTGGTTTTCTGTTTCATTTAGAAGAATGGGGTGGAAAAAATGTGGCTTTCCCGGCTGTGCCACTCGTTGCGGGCAGGGTAAGAAATTTACAAAGTTTCCCACAGATGAAAATCAGGCTAGTAAATGGTTAGCTATATTGCCCCCTGATTTTCGTGTCCGGCCCAACACTTACTTCTGTGAGGTGAGAACGAACGGATGAAATGCTATAGTGAGAGAATTCTTGTGTAAAATTTGGCTCTACAGTTTTCTATTCCATGTTTCAGGATCATTTTGATAATAGTCAGTATGAAAAGGTCAGAGTTGATGGTGAGAAACGGCTGAAGCAGTCAGCTGTCCCGAGTCTTAGAAAGCCACTGAGAGACCTTAATTGTGGGGATGCAGAGGCTGCACAGGCCCTCCTTTTGCTTCACGAATCGAATGTAAGGCTTTGTTTAGAGATTTTGTCTAAAGAAACAATTACATTTATTTTTTATTTGTATTTGCTTTTACCTACAGCAGGCTGCTGTGCCAGCATCACATCCACCTGTTGCTTCGCCTCCAGATATGTGGCAGACAAAGTACATTATTGAAGTGCCGAAGTCAGTTGTAGAGGTATGTGCTGTTGGTGCATGTTTTAAGAGACGCTCTTTTTATTTATTCCACAGACATTCCTAACAATTTCCTGTTGTATGTGTTATGTTTTGTCCTTAGAAATTGGGTTTACCACTCAACACAGCTAGTGACTTGGAACCGTCTATGATAGCGGCAGAACCTGTGACACCTGTGCGGAATAAAATGCCACAATCAAGCCCTCCACTGTTCACTAGCACTCCTATTGTTCCCACTCCTACTCTCCGTACTGTAAGTATCAAAAGTCCAGTGCTTGCATTTTACCAACAGTATAGTAAAATAAAATCCATCATTCCAATTCTGTTGAACTAATTTCCTCTTTCTTTTTTTATCAGTGTGATATGTCTGGACCGTCTGGTACAAATCAACAAAATACCTCTGTGTTTAGTGATTGTTCAGTGAGTACATTTAGTCTTTCCCTAGAAACTGAGGCAAGCTTATTGGCATGTCAATCTAAGCTTTAAAATGCAACTTAGAACTCATTTTTAAAATGTTTGTATTATTTTTTTTGCAGTACATACTTGATGAAAAAACTGGTTCTCTCATACCATCAGATGAGCTAGCCAGCAGTGACAGCAGTGATATTGCTGTTGTTGAACCAAGAAAGGTATGAGAACAAACTTTTTTTTTTAAACCATTGTGTATACAGTCCACTTTATTTGATTGCGTTTTTTTTTCTCAGGCACAAACCATGGCTAAATTGGATGAAATGGCGGATGCCTTAACTGCACAACGTGTTCAATTGGATCTTGCTAATGATGTAATTGATCAGCAACGCAGGCGGATAGAAGAATTAGAAAATAATGTTGAGCACTCAACGTACAAGAAGAAGTGGCAGGCTGCAATAAGGGCCAAGGACCGTACTCAGTCAAAGTTAAGGAGGAAATTTTGTTCCCCCTGGCTTTCAGAGAGACAAGTTCAGGCCCTACAGCGTACTTCCAACCGTGGCATAGAGTGGCAGATGCCAGAGATAAGGGAGGGGCTTGTTCTCAAAATGAAGTCCGGTACCAAAGGTTATTCTGCCTGGGTTCACAAGTTTCCCCTTTTACCTGCTGTGCGAACCCTGCAGAAAGCGGTGCAGTTCATTAAATTCCATGGCAATGGTATCCTGGAAGATATGTTCAACATGCTTGAACATATGGTCCAATCATTACCTGACATGGAAAACGACTGCACCATTGTTCTTGATGAAATGGAAATCACGCAAGGGCTGGTGTATGATGCTAGTACTCGCAAAACAATTGGTTCGAGCACTCTCCCTGGGCATGAAGGCCTTGCAAAGAAAGCTCTGGTTTTTGTTTTGGCAGGGGTTGCACGCAGGTGGAAAGTGACTGTTGCTGTATTCTTCACCAACAAAAAGAGTGCTGAGGCTAATTTGGAGCAAAACAAAACTGGTGAAGAATACAGGAAAATACTTGATGATGTCATTTATAGAGCAGAGTCAATGGGTCTCAAACCTTGTGCTATTGTGACTGACATGGGGCCAGATAACTTGGCCTTGTGGAAGTCCTATGGTATTGATGGTACACGTTTCAAAGTAACAGCTGCTATTGACAGTCCTACTAGAAATGCGAAGATTTCTGTCATGCCTGACCCGATTCACTTGATGAAAGCTATTAAATCATCTCTGGAGAATAATAAGGTTTTTGTCCTTCCACAGGAAGTTGTGAGAGAGTACAAGCTCAAATCAAATGTAGTGAAATATGAACACATAGAAAACCTTTATCATTATGAAAAAGGTCATGAGTTGAAGATAGCTTTCCGGTTGAAGGATTGGAATGTCTACTGTCGGAAGCATTTCACTAAACTGAATGTAGGGGCCACTCGAGCAGTGTTCAATAATTCCACTGGAGTTGGTCTCAAACACATGGCTAAAGTTCACAACGACCCGAGCTATTACACCACAGCCTGGTTTGTCGAGCAAATGAATGTTTTCTTTGAGTTGGTGACCTGCCGTTCTAGAGGGTTGGCCATTTCCACTCGAAACCCTCATGCATTTGAAAAGGCACTGGGTTTGATTGACCTGATGGACCGTATTTTCACTGGGTTGAGAATAGGTCAGAAAGGTGAATGGAAGCCGTGCCAGAGGGGTATGAGGGTCCTCTGTGAAAGTTATTGTCAACTCATTACCTATTTTTTGGAGGAACGCAATTACTCTTTCCTAATGCTGGGGAGGTTTACTAGTGATTGCATTGAGAATATATTTTCTCTTGTGAGATTTAGGCAAGCAGTCCCCAATGCCCAGGCCTTCCTCCACTGTCTTAAGGTTGTCACTTTGGCTCAGATCTCAGAGTCCATCAAAGGCTCTAGTTACGATTATGAAGAGAGTGTGACCCTTAGTGACAAGTATGATTTTTTGGAGGAGGCAAGGGCAAGGTATTTCGAAAGAGCTGAGCGTGATTTCTTCAACTCCGTAGATGAGCTTTCTCAAAATCCTGTCAGGCATATGACCCCAGCTGACTTTGCTTCTATGGATGACACAGAGAAATTGGTCCTATATGACATGGCTGGAAGTACTATGGCTGGCCTTCTCTCTTCAAGAATGACATTCTGTGACAAATGTGTTGAATCGGCAAGGCATAAAGATAGTAACCCTCATCCCTGTTCATCAGTTACAGATATGAAGGAATTTACATTTTTTAAGGAAAAAAATGATAATTCTAAAAAATTATTTTATGTGTCTGATGACGTGTTTAGGGCTATCTTATGTGCTGAGACCACCTTCCGCATGTACAGAGAAAGAACACTGAAATTACAACATACTGATGTGTTGCAGTATTTTGTTAGTAATTTAATGTATGTGTGGAATGGTTCTTCGTTGCACGACTGTCATGGGTTGAAGAGAAGAATTCTTGAGTATTTTATCCTTGGCCGCTTAAAGGAGCATGCCAAAAGAAGCAGAGAGGATATTAAAAACGCCAATGCTAACACTCAGACTGTTGAGCAAATGGGGAGCAAAACCAATGCAATGAGAGAACTTGTAAGCAAAGTTGGTACAAAAGGTAAAGCTCTTGTAGCTTCAGTTAAAGGTGTAAAGAATGCTAAAGTTAAAGATGTAAAGAATGCTGAAGTTAAAGCTGTGAAGAGTGCCTCAGTTCTTCCTGTTGCAGCCAAGGTGGGCAATGACAGTGCTTTAGCTGAAGCTGTTGTAGCTTCAACTTCCACCTAGTTTAAGACTGATTTTATTGACTTGCTCTCAATTTGCTTTTTCTCCATTTTACTTTATTTTACTTCTAAGACTGATTTTATTTAATTGATCTCGAGTTGCTATTCCTATATGTTACTTTTAT